GTCCGGTAAAAGCTTTTTAATTTCAGTCCAATTTGAAATAAAAACATTTTCCGGACATTAACACCATCATCATATAGCTAGATATCCCGTAAAAAAAACCCTTATATATGGTACGTACTTAGCCCAAAATTAATTTTAAACTAAAAAACAAAACAGGAGAAGTCTGTACAACTGTTCAGTAATTTGAAAATGAGGTTTTATGCAAAGATTTTTAAACTAGAAACGTTTGTAATTAATACAGACCTGGTGTTTTATTTATTATTAACAATAATATGCGAAGGGAAGATATATTTGGGTACTTAATTATAAAAAAGCTAAGTTTTAACTAACTCATCTATATTTATGTTGTCACATAGGTAAAATTAATGTGTATATTCTTTAAGATGATGTTCACCAATACACCAATTTATCAATTATCTTGAAGAAAGAGATATTTCTACAAGCCTACGCCTCATAGAAATAAAGAAAAATCGGCATTTATGGCCTTATAGCTCGATTGCCTAAAAAAAACCCCAAAGGGCTTTATTATGCAATCTAAGTAAAGCATACATGCAGCTGTGCATGCACAAAATATAATTTATTCTTCATGATGGTGGTTGTATAAATGTTGTCAAAAAAGTTTTTCAAACACAAAGTGTTTACTTTTTTTTTATGCAAGATATTGATGCGCGTTTCTGTAGTTTTTCTTTTAGTTGCTTTTTCCAATGCATCACATAATGCTTGTCAAAGCGTACAAAGTGGTTTTATGAAGGCAAAAGACAATGGTATGTTACAGTACAAAAGACAACAACATCGTCTAAAGATGTTTTTAACAGTTACTTTATTTATAAATGATTTTGCTAAGTTTTTACGTTTTTACTTAATACAGACCTTGTGGTTTTAGCAATCAATTATTAACCACGATCTGTGAAACGAAGACACATGACTACTTAATGATTAATAACTTAGTAGTTTTAACTTAATAAGTTGTCTATCACATAGGATATAATAAGTGTGAACAATGTTTTAAGGTAATATTCACTAATACACCAATTTATCCAATTTATCAATTGTCAACCAGCAAAAATATTTCTACAAGCTTACGCCTTTAGGAAATGAATATAAATCGCTTTTATCGCCTTAAAACTTTCCCAAAATATTGGAAAGTGCTTTTTTATGCAAGTTAGGTAAATCAAACATAGCTGCATGTACAAAATATACATTATTCTTTATGACGGTGGCTATATAAATGTTCACAAAAACGTTTTTCATTCATAAAGTGTTTTCTTTCTTTTATGCAAGATGTTGATGCGCGTTTCTGTAGTTTTTCTTTTAGTTGCTATCTGCAATGCATCGAATAATGCTTGTCAAAGTTCACAAAGTTTTTTTAGGAAGACAAAAGACAACGGTAAGCTGCAGAGTAAAAGATAAAATAAATGTTTTGGAGGATGTAAAAAACTAGTATGTTTTAAAACGCGTACCTGCAGGTTACATTTGTTGTTGTTTAATTGCAATAAAGCTTTCTAATTTCTATTTTATACCATTCTGGCAAAATGTATTAGCAAAAAATGAACAAGCGAAGTTAGTATTTTTCATATATGTTTTTTTCTAATCTAAAACGAAGCGTTCTATCTAGCACTGTTGTACTCGCTGTTTTTGGCCTTCAATTCTTTACGTTTGATCGTTAGTAAAAATACATGTAATTGTGTCATTGATAAGAATAATAAAACAAGTACGACTCCGAGACTTCTAGCTCGACTCAGTTCCGTACATTGTTTTTTGCTTAACTTTTTGCGTTTTATAAATATTTGCTTTACGAAATTTGTTTTTATTTGTTTGCAAAAATGGACCTACAAAACAGATTTTGAGCTAATGAGGGCACGCTAGTTTACTGTAAGTGACACCAGCCATAAAATAAAAGAAATCAATGTATTTAATTTACATGAGACGTCTATGTTGTCTAGATATATAAATTCACTCCCCCCCTCCCCAATAACGTTCTAGTTCGCCCCTGCTTCCATGCTAGTCTTAGCCACTTGTTTGGAAATAGGATAACGTTGCGGAGTTGCTGAATGTAAACTTGGATGCATCAAAGCGATAACACGACAAATATTGTATCAAGAAAATTTTACCTAGTGGTCACTCAAGTCAACAAAGCAATCTACTTGTAGAAATACTGAGTTTTGGTTTATTCTGAAGTTTTGAAAGTTGTTTTATGATAAAGGACAAAACCATAAGAACAATTATATAATGTTTCATCGATCCAGCGATTCCTTAAATATGTCTTATTACATTACACTGAAAAACTGAAGCAAAATTTACCAAAGTTTTTTTTGTTTCAAATAAAATATAAATTTTTTATACGAATTTAAATATTTTACATTTGTGTACTTTACTTTTTCACTTTATGACGTTATTAGGGTCCTGTAAGCAGATGTATTATAAACCTACAGTGTGAGTTATCATCATGAATAATGAAACAGTAATAATCCCAATGTCCTCACTATGTCATGGTAAAAAAATTTTTGCAAAAGCATCTACATATGCATATATACCTCTAAACCATGTCTTGATTGATATTTGAACAACAATTCCTATCGTAATAGCTCCCAAACCCACAAAAAAATAATTATGATAGTTTATTTTGCTGTTTTATTAACATTTATCAAATCAATTCAACAGCATTCTAACACATTTCAGATCATTGATTCTCATTTATTATTTTGCGTCTTCTGATGTGAGATTAGTACATTCTGTCTAACGTCATGAATCTATGTTAATAAGTAATAAGTCTGCCTGCTTCAAAATGAACATACAATGTAGTTTAAAAAAATTTAGATTTGAAATGTCCATCTCTGTAGATAGTAAACAGAAGCCAAATTAGATTTGAAATGTCCATCTTTGTAGATAGTAAATAGAAGCAGGCAGACTTCTCAGCTTCAATTTTTTTGACTACAATATGATCTTCGGCTGTTTTTCCCTTTCTGGTGTATGTTACCAATTAAATCAGAAAGCCGACAAGGACACATCAATATTTTGAACTTTTTGCTATTTCCTTCTCATGAAATGTTTGGAATAAACCAAGACTTAACAAAACTGCTGTTAGGACGGTAAAATTTGACGAGGCAATGTTTGTCGTGTTACTTTCCAGCTTTGATGCATCGAAGTTAACTTCTAAAAATTCTGCAATGTCATCCTATTTCTAGAAAAAGAGGAAAGAACTAGAGGTTAGATATTAAAAACATGTTTGTACATATAAAATAAAAACAAACCAAAATGTATGAAAGGAGTTCTTTTTTTGGTTTATTATAATTAAAATTTGAATGAACGTAATATCTGTGCGAATGGTCGGCCGATGCTAAAAATAAACGCTAGCCAAAATTTTTTACGGTTTTTTTTGATCAGTTGTAAACTTTTATGATTAGTTCTACCCTTATCCAAAAACAAAAACCTTCTCTTTCAGGCAAAGTTACGGGAGCTTGCGCTGACAGAATTAATACGCTGGGACTTGTTTAAGAACACTGCATTTGACCTCATAAAGTCAATTATTCTTATTGAACATTCAGGCATACTTACACAATAGTGTTTCATTGCTATACATAAGAAATAAGTCGTAATGCTATGATTTCTAAAATTTTAAATCATTCCATGATTAAAGAATCTACCTGCTATACTTGTAGCTATGGTTCTTTTCAACATCAGTGTAAATGTAATAGTAGCTTTTCAAATGAAGCTTTAAGTCCGAAATTATACAGCCATGAAGCTGGTCTTTTATTTAAGAGTAGCAAGGGGCAATGTACAGTACTGATCTTATATGTTTACTTTAAACATGACGGCTAATATTTAAATTCGTATAAAAATCTTTATGATTGAGGAAATATTTATCAAAAAGCTTCAGAAGCAAGAGCAATAAAAGTGGTGATATACGAAACACAGTGTAGAAATTATAGGAAATATTATATATTTACCATTGTGTTATCACCCTATATTTCATGATATTTATATAAAATGTTTCCATCTAAGGTTTAAACGTTGATAATTTATTGGTTAATTTTGACGAGCGAAGATAATCTTTCACTTTCTTTTGCTCCATGACTCATTGCATTTTATAAATCTTGTTATTTCTTTTTTGTATTTTTGACTATAAAATAGACTTTGTTATCTTTTTGTATTATTTACACCTTTTGTAATTGATCCTGTTTTGTTCTTTGTTTTAAAGGTGAGACGTTATCACCAAAAGATATCATTTCAACTCATGCTGTTCACAATGACATTGAATGTTCCATGAAATGTCATCAACAAAACTATGTGTTGGCTTTAATTTCTTATTTGATGCAAAAGAATTTGAGATAAACTGCCAAATTACCAACAGAAAAACCAGAAATATGGAGAAACTAGCCTCAGAAGGCAAATGGACTTTTATGAATCTCATGCATTGGTAAAAAAAAGAAAGTGGTTGATTTGAAAATGTTTGTTAAGTGGGTATTATGTGTTAATTTTAAATATATTGTTAACGCTTATTTTTTCCTGATAAGCATTGTGCAAAACTATATAAAATCTGACTTAAAGTATTAATTAAAAGAAAAATGCCCAATCAAGTGTCTATTTTTAGGTTACTGAATTTAATTCGATTTCGAGAAAAAGAATGCAATTTTAAAATTCATACGATTTCGAGGATAAGAATGAAATTGTGCCAATTTTAAATATGTTGAGTTTAATTTTAAAATGTTTTGAACAGCTATTTGGCACAATGGATCTATGTAGGAAAGCTTTTCATAACAATTTCTTTGGATGCCTAATGATTTATAACCCGTAGGAAGTTCAATGCAATAGATTTTTCAATAATATTTTTATAGGCAAAAGACTGTGCAGATCTATACATGAAAGGAAAAGGAAGAATGGAGTTTATGAAATTGATCCAGATGGCCAGGGCAGTTTCAATGTTTTCTGTGATATGACAACATCTAGTGGAGGTTGGACTGTGTTTCAACGTCGTCAAGATGGAAGTGTAGACTTTATCGAGATTGGAGGGATTATAAGAATGGTTTTGGTGATCTGAAAGGCGAATTCTGGCTTGGATTGGATAAAATATACAGACTAACATCAGCAAGGAGAAATAAACTTCGTGTTGACCTTGGAGACTGGTCAGGAAACAAAGCATATGCTGAATATGATTATTTTGCTGTAGAGAATGAAGCAAATAAATATAAGTTGAGTCTTGGTGCATATTCTGGTGAGTCAATAAGTAAATGTAAACATTTGATGGACAAATTTCTAAGCCATTTTTTGATATAAGCATTATACGTTGTAATGATTCGAGTTTGCGTGGGCAGGTCAGCAATTTTGGGAAAAACATAGATATTTTAACGGTTGACTTTGAGCGGAAGTCTTGTTAGATCTTAAAAAATATAATCAATTTGATATTACGAACAAAATACATTGAACAAACATAAAATCATTTTGTTGTGTGAATCATTAAGTTGCACCCTACGACAACAATTTTTGACTTACAAAAAGAGATCATTCATGGATTGTGCTTACCGTATGATTAAGATTAAATGAAAATTCAATTGAAGCTTTGTAAACAAGTAATGAGCATGCGCCTGAAACATTGCTAAATTATGTGGACTTAAATAAACATTAAAACCTTTTATATAAAATATATGCAAACCTGTAATATATAATATTAAATTCAGGCTTCCATTCCAAGATTTTTTATATATGTATAAATAAAAAAATGATAGCATAATGCTCTATCAACAACTACAAACAATAACGACATTATCTAACAACATTTGCAAAATTAACCTTCCTCCTGTTCCTTTTAGTCCTAGAATTATACTCTGCTATACTGGTCACAAGCTCAGGACTTGTAATTAAGGCTCTCTGCTTTTGAATAGACTTGTCTTGTTTACAAAGAAGAGAGTGGAGTTTAATTTTCAAATGTTGTTAGATAAGGTCGTTATTGTTTGTAGTTGTTCGTTAAAGCATTATGCTATTCTTTTGTTTCATAACATTCAACTATTTAACCTCAAGAATAGGTATAAATAAATATAATATATTTATACATATATAAACGTTACTGAAATTCATTCAATTATACGTGGATAAATTTACATATAGAAGAATGAAAAACATAAATGTAAATTAAGTCTCGGACAACACTACAGGTATATCATCAAGTCAATAAAGAATTTTAAGGTCTATTATAATAAAAATTAAATACCATTCATTACTTAACATAGGAGTGAGAGCAATGAGTTAAGGCTAGGATGTGGAAATAATGTTCTGGGAAATGAAAGTAGGATCAAAGTCAAAGTCTTGACAAATTTACCTTTGCAATTTATTTATTCCATTTTGAAACAGGATATATAGCATATTGTTAAATAAGTCAGCTATAACAACTTTATGACAAACGGTAGCAATGTTATAATGTGATTGTCGTTGGATGTCCCACATGCACCAGAATATGTGAAATGAAAACTCAGTGTTATATAACATATTTTAACACTTACATCATTCCTTCCTCTTTTTCTACATAAAATAAAAAAAAAACTTATTGGCAAATCTCACAAAAGCCCCCCAAAAAACCGCTGTAGGAATCTTCTAACAATGACATAAAACCCATTTTGGGAGAGTTTCTGCAAGTTCAGAAGAATTCTATAACTGCATAAAATGCGAACTTTGAAAGGTACTACTTTTTGTAGGAAATGCTAGCAATTCATTATCTTGTCATAAAGCCAAGGCGTTTTCAACAAAAGATTCAAATAATCATCAAAGTGCAGGAAACTGTGCCACTGACTGGAAAGGAGCTTGGTGGTATTGTTATGATAACTATTGTTATGACTCTAACCTGAATGGACACTACTATAGTGGCAACCAAAACAATTACAAAGGTGTGACTTGGCGACAATGGAAAGGTGGTAAATCCTTAAAGTTCACTGAGATGAAAATAAAACCATAAAGAATTTCCAAAGTTGTAATGTCATAAATTTGATCACTATTTCTAATGAAACTTTCAACATATAATAACAAAAAATAACTTTTATGTCTTTTAAAGATCCTTTATAATCATTATTATTTAAAAAAGCGTTGAAAAAATAGTTAAAAATACTGTGGTGAAATAATAACTTTCTAATATTTTTGCTAAAATTAGAGCTGATTGAGGTAATTATGTGATTCTAATGTTATGTCTTTTCACTCATTTCTTTAATGAGATGTTGCTCTGTATGTAGATAATTTTATATTTTCACCTCGTTCCACGCAATCTTGGTGTATCATGCATTTCATGCAATTATCTTACATCATTATTCACTATTTAAGCAATGTCGCTTTTGATTGGTCAACTACCTGCAAATAATTCTACATATCTGTAGGTAAGACGTCTATTTACAAATAACAGTTTCTACAATTATGGACGTCATTAAGAGCCGGTTTCGAAAAAAAGTCAAATCATAGCGATGTTTTCCACAGTTTCTAAAAACAATGTAAAAGCTTTGAAACAAGAAGCATCCAGAAAACAATAAAAAAGCGGCTAGGATGGCTTTGAACGTGCTAACAACATATTTAAACAAGATGAACTTGAATAAACCAGCTGACAAAAAAATTAACGAAGGTTTGAAAAATGTTCTATATTGATATGTGTTAATAATATTTCAGTTAGTTAAAGTGAATAATAAAACAATTATTGAACTTGGCTTTCGTAGTTATGATTTTAAAAATTATTCAGACCTCGGCAACGTATTCTACCTCAGCTTTGCTTCTGCAGATAACATTGACCTTGGTCTGAATAATTTTGATATCATCTCAACCTCATCAAACAATTGTTTATTATCTGGCTCGTCAGCAATCTTGTTCCTTCCAAAGAGAATGGTTGCACACCATATATAAACCGCGTTTACACTGCGGTCTCGTAACTTACCAAGGACTGACTAGGCCTCCAGTGTAAATACATCAAGCTTGACCTAGGACTCACCAAGGACCGACGTTTTAGCCCCATCATTGCACGTAGTCCTAGGAAAACTTACACAATTTAGAAGACACTAGAATCTCGCCACAAACAGTACATCCCGTTAAAAGGCCCGGTGTACTATGTTTGATAATTTATATCGTTACATCTATCTCCTCATAAGGAACAAAACAAGGTTACAATTTGAAGGACGAAGAGTAGTTTCATAAAATTGGTAATCACATGTAGAACGTTCATTGTAATGTACGTCCTATAGAAAATTTTCTTTGACTGAGGCATCCGATGTGTTGGTTTCTGGTGGCCTAATTGGTTTCTATACCAACATGTGGACGTGTCTTGCGTAGAGAACTTGTTGCTCATTTGGGTCTTCGGACTCAGATTGTTCATTTCTTCCTCGGTACGCTCTTTATCAATCTTACCCTTTCTTTAACGGACGCCAGATGTCTTCTGTTCCGTCTTCATATTCAGCCTTCCGAAATAACTTGGTACGACCTGGGTGCAAACTTCTGGTTACATCCTTTCCTTCATGTCCTGCACGTCTGGTCTGGTCGTATACGCACTGTTTCTCCTGGGTTGAGATCTATTAATGGCTTGCTGCACGGTGGTAATATTTCGCTTGTTTTTCTTTTGTTTGTCAACAATTTCTTGACTCGATGGGTTAATTTGGCTTCAGTTTCAATGCCGTGTGGAGAAGCGTTTTTGTTCACATAGTACTATATATGTACGTGGATAAATAGTCCAGTTTAGTTTACATATCAGTGGCTTAATTATCCTCTACCAATAGCAAAATAAATAAAACAACATTACAACACCCAATCAAAATTATAAATGTTGAAGAAAATAATCACATTGCTGAAACAGTTTATCGTTCTCTTAGTGGATTAAAGTCATCTCCGAATCGTTAGGAATGAAATGAGTAATTTAGAGGAAAAATAGTCAGCGTCGTTCTCGTTGACAAAGCGCGCTAAAAAGAAAAGCAATGATGCGCATGCGTATTAATTTTATATTGCAGTACCCAGCTATTGTACCCAGAATGCTCGCTCTGCAATCTTCAGAAACGTTGTGAATATCAGTGGGACTAGAGTTGAAGATTTTTGTCAGAACGTAACATCATGCAGCAGAGGAAAATATCCCAGTTTTAAAGAGGAATGATTTGTTAATCACTTTGAAAATACAAGTTCTTATTAAACGTCTTGTAGAATTGTCGTGTTGCTTGCAAAGGCCAAGAGAATCGATACAATACTGGCATATTCAACTAATTCAAATTAGATCATCGATGTCAGGTTCTCTAAAAGATCACGATTTAAATAAGGCATGAGCGTACAAACATAAATAAAAAGACATGTTGTACACTACTGAATATACAACAACTGACATTACTTCAACTAATATCTTTATAAAGTATATATTTATAATTGCCACGTTTGTGTTTATTACGGTTCCTTTGAAACTAAAGAATGAATTAATTATCAATGTCAATAGCTTGCTGAAACCAAAAATGAGAACATCAACACAAGCTACTTTTAGAAATGGATAATTTCGGTCAATTTGTGAGGTAGAAGTTTATAGCTACATACCTTGATGGTGGCTATGTTTCAAGTGATGTTTAGTTTTTTAGTTCTCAAGTTTTAGTCCAGCTTTTCATCATCCTTATTTATGTCTATATAAATTCATTGTTTTTACCGTGAGTATAAACACAGAGAGATCGACAGCAGGATTACATGAGTATGCTGGCGATACGAACTGAAATAAAACATTTTTTCTCATTTTGGCCACGTTCAAAAAATAATGTCCTGCACATTTATTATTTTAAAGTAGAAGTTTCAAAAATTCGTGTTGATAACGTTAACATGTTCGTAATTGCATGTGTTGTTTGTTATGACACAACAATTTCCTTCAATGTACGTGGAAAGTTGATATTAACAATAAAATTGCTGTTCGGGATAATAGACTTTTATTTTTATAATTTTTATACTGGAGACAGCTGGGGGGAATTATTGCCAGTTTGGCTCAATATAGCTGCAACGTAAATTGTTTTAAGAATGGTCAACGGCGAAATACAGCTTGTAATCAATTTTACTGCATCAAAAGTAAGTACACAAAATATAGCTATATTTGAGAATGATCTGTATTGTGTGCCACGTTTTAAAGGTTTCTTTTTAAGTCGTGTATAAATAAATTACTTAATTTAATTGAGTGCTGAGACAGAATGTGAAAACAAGAATACATATCACTTGTGGACAGGAAAACAGCTGGGTTGAGTTTTAGGCACAGAAATTTATATACTTTGTAAATTTGTTGTATTTTATACAACAAAATATCAAATAAGTAAACAACAGGATGTGTAATTAACTACAAATTCCAAACATATGATGCAATATTGTCAGTTTGAAATTGTAGACAAACTGTTGTGTCTGTTGTTCCTTATAAATAGTAAAATTGCTTTTCATACTAAAGACAAAAGAAATATTTTTGTGCAAGTTGATTTACATCAAGGTTTGACTCTATACAATAAAATAGTGGCGCAAAATTCGTCTTTTAAACATTGCATAGTCAAGCAGAACTTGTAATAGTGCAAATTCATTGGACGAAACTTCGAGCATAAAATGGCTACTGTCTAGATCTCAAATAATTAAACTCTTTTATTATCAGCTGAAACCAACCTATTCTTCATGAATACTCACATACATAAATAGCGCTTTTATGATCTTGTCCTCACTCCAAACTTGTGGATATCGATCACATATCATAAAATGGTAAAATTTGCTTTTTCGTTGGTCGGTGACATAATATAGTTTAGGGCGTGTTCATATGAGCCGGCTGGCCGACTTTGCCGGACCAGTCTATTATTTTATTTACATGAGGCGTGCTAGCCCAACAATGTACAGTAACAGTTATTTACGCACGCCGCATAAAGTCAAATCCGATACTTTATGTTACTTTTATAAGCTGAAAGAAACTCAATGATGTTATTTATTAGTCTATAGTCCACCGAAAGTTGTTCTTTTGCTTGCCCTATCTTTTGCATCGCAATGAATTTTATGAGCATGCGCACTAATACGATGTTTAATTCGGCATGCCAGTCTAGCCCGTCTTGTGCATTCACGTGAACCCATTTTATGCCGAGATCTTGCCTCGTTTAAGGGACATCCCGGCAAAACGGGCTAGCCCTTCGCTCATATGAATCAAATTTAAATTATATGTAAATACTAAAGAGGTGAGATCTTGCTACTGCCGGGCTAGCTCGGTAAAGCGGGCCAGCCCGGCTCATATGAACAGGCTCTTATATACATACACTTGAAGTTCTAAGCACAGCATAACTTATGTTTAGATTATGTGTATAACTTACACTTTCCATAATTACAAATTGTTTTCTCTTGCAAATAAGTGTTTCATTAGCGTTACACGAGTTAATTGTATTCAAGTAAATCTTGAATGCAATGAAGCTTTATGTTGGCATGGCTACTATGTAAAGAGAACATGCATGTTAACGTCTGATTGGATCTAGGTGCTCTTACATATTCAGTCATAACAAATATATATAATGAAAGTTTTATTTTGACGAAACTTTTGTAATGGTTCAAAACGTATTATTGAAAAAAAAACTTGTCCGTAGAGCACATTTGAAAGTGGTAGCCGGTTTTTCTTACGGTGGACGTCGAATTATTGTAACGTTGCACTTTATTTAAACAAACATACTTACGTAGCTTGATCGAATTCATTTATAATTTATTTTGACAGTGGGCGCTGATCCAACCTTGCATCTCTTTAATTACAAAACATCTGTCAACGTC